TGGTTGGGAACAACTCCTCTGAGAGGCAGAAGTAGCCATTAGCTTGCTCTTTTCTTCTCTAATTAATAGGGAGGCTTGTGTCTTTGTATGAAACCCTTTAATCCAAGGGTTACTAAGTGTTTTGGAAACGTTAATTAATTCAATTAAACTTCACACTACCACCTTGAGGCAGGTAATTCCTCTCTGGGCTATCACATCTTTGCCTGCTACAGAATGGCCCACAAACTGTATATTAGTGCAGATTAGGATAATTAATAATAACAGTAAAACCTTGGATTTAGATAATGTTCTGTAACTAAAGGTCTCAAGTACTTTGCAAAAATCGGATTTGTTAATGAGGACTGAAGAGGGGGCTTGAGCCAACTTATTGCCCATGATGACAAAGCAGAAATACTGTACTTGTTTCAGGTTCCACTCCAGGCTGAGGACACATGACCTTGAACAGTCCTCTGTGGCCTCTTTATGACTCAGTTCCTACAGCTTTCAAATGGGGGCAATAATATTACTCACCTCTCTACTTCACAGAGATGTTGCAAGGATAATGTTGGTAATATGCTGCGGAGTTCCCAGATGAAAGATGGAAATTAATACATGATGAAACATTACGACTACTTATCTGTACACCATCTAAATGGGCTAGGCAGGTGAAATATCAGCATCCTTTCAGACCTGGCAGAGAAACTGGTACTGCCATTATGTTTACTTAACATCTATTACAGACACCCAGAAGTTGAGAACTGCTCAGAGTGGTAGCCATGCTCCTGGGATAAGCACAAGCAGGAGATACCAGATCAACAGAGGCAGCTAATTATTTATTCACTCTCTTTCCTCCCATTTCCCAGCTTCTTTGGAACAGAGTATTTGAGAAGAAGTGAATGCAGAGAGAGAATCAGAATGACGGAAGTAACTTTTACACTTGGACATTCCTCTCGATTCTAAGTAATCAACATGTGTATAATTCATATTCTCCAGAACAGGCCTGTGCCTCTATGGCCTCAGCCGCTTTGGTCAGAAATTTTTTTCTCTCTTCATCTCTATTTGTCCAGGACAGCTCAGAGCCAACTCGCCACTTTCACAAAGCCTTGTGAATCAAACTCTCTTCTTGAGTTTCCACTGTGGTGCCTATGAAATAACACATGTCTTGGATTTTATATTTTGTTGCTGGTCTTGCTTCCATAACAGACTTAACTCGATAATTCTTTGTGAATCTCTGTTCTTCATCTATACAGGTCTTGGCATACTGAGCTTAATCAAATACACTTTAATGAGTGAACGGATGGAATCTGTCAGCCAAATATCAATACTAGAATTCAGACCACACTGAATCCACATCTGCTTTTCTCATCACAACGTACACATCCTAGTGCAGAAGAGAAATATTGAGCAGAAGAAATTAAGAGGAAGGGCTGATTAAAAGAATTATTTTCAAACAACATTCCAAAGGGAGATTTTTAAACAAAGCTCAAGGAAAATGTCTTTATACATACAATGTCACGTAGCAGGGCTCAACTCATTAGCCTCTGCATGTGTAATGACTCCTATAGCACAGATGGATCCAGAGAAACTGTCACATGATCATCACTCATTGATAAGCTGAGACTCTGACTTAGCATCCAAGACCTCTGTGGGATGGCCCTGATCTGTGTTTCCTGCTGCATTTCGCTGCCTTGGTCGCTGCCAGCTCCCTGGCTTCCATGCAGGTGAGGACAAGACTGTGTGCTTCTCCCTTCAGTGGCTCCCAAACATTCCTGCTTCAAATGCTCTTTCCCATATCATGGCCCTGCATCTCCATCTACTGAAGACTTTTCAAGGTCTTTCTCGGATACTTGCTCCACAAAGATGGCTTTCCTCATCTTGAAAGTGCAGTAGTCCCTACAGAGCACTTCGGCTTTACCCAACAAACCCACAGAAGTGGTGTTAAGCTGGTAACCAGGATCACAGAAAGTTGCGTTGCCTGGGTTGGAAAGCTCATCCTTCACTTATTAACTCTTTGAATCTTGCATGTGTGTTTCCTTTTATGGGGATGACCCTAGTTACCCCATCCACGGAGGCTATTATACAGACTGTCCATGATAGTGTGTGTCAAAGGTTTAGAACAGATTGCATGCATGTTCTTTGCTTTTTCACAGATGTAGACCAGTTTGGGGCACATTCCTCTTTGTAGACCAGCAACACCAAGTAGGACGAGCAGTGTACCATAGATGAAATTTGGAAGTGTAGAATCAGAACCCCTGAGAGGCCCACGGAAGCTCTTTTACTACCTCAGAATTCTTGGTTCTCCTGCATCATGCTGTTGAGCGTGGCTTTCCATGAACACTTGTTTTTTTACAAAAGCTTTTAATGATCGAAGAATCTTATATTTCCTGCTCACGCTAGGCTTAAATATTGTTAATGCCATCACTTGATTCATTTTCCTGCACAAATTTGTCTGCAGTTTCTCCTCCAGCTCCTAATCAATTACTCACTCATTTTATTTCCACAATGGTGCCGGAGTTGCCAAGTGTGTTCTGGATCCTGGCCAGGAGGAAACAGTACCAGTATCTCCAGTTGTAGTCAGGAGAACAAATTGTTGCTCTCTCACCTGCATACCACCACTGGTATAATTATGTTCCTTCACATACTAACACTAAAAAATGGAGATGAAGTTAGAAATAGTCTTATTTATTTTTTTATATGTCAAATATTTTAAAGGGTCACCCACTCTGCTGTAACATATTTGCTTACGTTTTTGACGTATACTTTTTTAATAAAAAATTTACTTCCACAAAATTCTCCCTTCCAAAGAATACAATTCAATGAAATTTAGCATATTTGCAAAGTTGTGAAGCCATAACTAATTCCAGATCAGTTCCAAAAAGATACCCATTCCTCATATTTTGATTTTGGTGTAAAAAATGTTAATTTTATTTTTGTTACTTGGTTAAATTACGTTTATAATTTTTGAAAACTCAGAGAACTATGTATGTGACATGTTAGTAATTAATATTCTAATGGGTTTGCTTAGCTTACTTTTTATTGTTTTTCTTACTTTACCATTTGCTCAAGGGTTCACACACACGCACACGCCTACAGATACATACCGGACTTGGTCTTGTAGGATTACTTGTGTCAGGCTGGAGCTATCAGTACCAACCCTGTACTTAACTTGAAGGACAGACAGTGAACATAGTGAAGGTAAAAGTAACTCTTCTTTATTGAACACCTACTATTTCCCAGACACTATTCCTCGAAGTGGTTTCAGGAGGGAGATTCTATTTTCATGATTTTTTATTTTTATTTTACGTGTGAGTAAGTAGAGGCATGTGGAGTTTAGGTAGCATGCTACACCCTAAAGTGGCATGTCTACCACTTAGCAAAGTTCAAATTTGAGCCCAGATACCTCAAATTCCAAGCACATGCCCTTACCCACTATGCTATACCACCTGCTATCCAATTGGCCATCTGGTCTAATAATGCCAACAGCACCTGAAAAGCCTATATGATATGCTGTCTCAAGTCCCATTCTGTTCCCTCGGCATTCCTGCCAGATGTTGCCAGGTGAGGAGAGCCAGTTCCTGTAGGTTAAATTATCACACAGCAAGACCGGTGCAGACAAGTGGTTGAAAAAAGGTGTTTTTCCAGAGCCAAGGAGTTTTGTGCTTATTCATACCAAACTGGGACTTCAGACATTTTTCCTAGACTTATACATTTTAGCTCTCTGAATAAAAAAAAAAAAAAACCCTTTTTGTCCCACTTGTTTGCATGTTTGAATCCCCACATCAGCCCGAGGGTAGCAAATATGACTTGATTTATTTATGTAGTTCCTGTGCTCAAACGGTGTTCATTGAATAATTTGTGAGCAAATAAAAAATGAATTTTGTTGTAAAATCACTTTAATATTTGATTTATAGACATCTTTAAGAGTTTAACCACTAATAGTTGAGTGAAGGGAGACTAACGTAGAATAGTTTGATTATCCATTCTTTTTATGTTTGCAAGAAAAGCAAATTTCACTCCACATAGACATTAAGTAGAATATTTTTGCATGCACAAGAAAATGCGATTACGAATACCTTTTGAAAAGGATTAGTGATAATTTGTACCTTTCGTAAGCAAAATGAATGAGGGTACTATTAAAAACCTACGGATTGGGGTTTTCATTAAGCAAATTAAAATCTGGAGCTCTGTTAGCTTCCCTCAACCCCCATTGGCTCAGCTCCTGTGAATAAGGCAGCAACCTGGGAGTTCTTGCACCCGCTCCTTGGAAGGATCTTGCCAGCTCTGCATTGTCCTGTTGGATTTGCAGTCAGATGTCTGATGCTGGCAGGCACTGGGCAGGCAATGAGTTCTTTTCCTGTAAGTTGGGCACAAAAAGATCAGCATGGGAGCAGACTCCTTTGAGACAGCTGCTCTGAGAGAATGCAGTCAGCAAGGAGCAGCCAGAAATTCCTCCTTGCAGAGGGTGACTCGTGGGAGGAGTTCAGTTTGCTAAGTATTGTCATTTGCTGAGAGAAGGTGTGTGCTCCAGAAGGAGTTTTAACCTGGAGGATCATTAACTCTTTCAGTCAGTTGGGGCGCGGCGGTGGCTCGGCGAGTTCCTACTGGAAGCGTGTGCCCAGGAGGGTCAGGGAGGAGGAGTGGAATCACTTGTTCATGGGGGACCACTTTGAGAAGGGCCAGCATGCTTTGCTCAATGAAGGAGAAGAGAATGAGATGGTAAGATTCTAGCCACATTCTCCTCTTCACATTCTCTTTCCCCAATCTCTGGGACACACACACACACACACACACACACACACACACAGACATGTGCATTCATACACACTCTTACACACTTCTCTGCACTTTGATCTGGGGTTACACAAGAAGAGGTAATGTCCACAAAATCTTTCTGTCCTGTAAATGTAACTTTTGACTGTAGAAATTTGTTAGAATGAAAATATTGTATTCATTTTATCAAGAATGTTTTCTTTTTAAGTAAAACAGAAAGGGAGAGAAACACAATGCCACTTGATAATTCGTTTTTTTTTTTTTTTTTTTTTGAGCCTCATCAGTATAGCAAGTTCTGTTCGAAACTTCTAATAAAGCCAGCGATCCCTGAGGTGAGGAGCAGGGTATTCCCTGATAGGAAGGAGCAGACATCAATAGAGAAGCAGCAACACAGTTGGGTCTCTGACCTTCTTCTCTTCTCACGTATCTTGTTCGCCTAGACTGTTGGACAGGGAAGACACATAAAATATTAACAATTATCAGCCTACACACATTTCTGTTTACTTCTAGAATTTTACTTGTAGCTCCCTAGTTACAGAGATTGCTAACAGAAAACTTTCTGTAGTTCATTGTCTCTTTTATTTTAGATGCATTTCTGTCTTGGGAACTGTAGGAAAATTAAAGATGACTCTCATGTTCTTGCTGAATTTAAAGTTATATTTCTCAATTACAATGTAATCAAGAGAGAGTTAGAAATGCACACTTCTGTTTAATAAGGTCGTTCTGCTAATTGTGTAAGCACAGTCTTTTATGCTGGTAATGATATAATTAAAATGTTCAAATGTGATGCTCTCATCCTATAATAGCACTTTATCTTCCTAGAATTAATATATAAATAACAAACCCAAAAGATATTTACTTAAAATGTTTTCTCAGTTAATTGCTTGAGCCTAGACTATTAAATTCTTTGTTTCAAAACTGGTCTTTCAAGTTTAATCTGCTTACCTGTTCCTATAGCAACAACATTTTTTTGGACCTTCAAGAGTAGATCCCTTCTTCTATCAAAGCTGAAAGAAAAATTATAAGAAAATAAAAGGCATCTAATTTCAGATGGCTTTCTTAACCATATCCTTACTTCTTTTAGATTCGGCTGCTGAGTGACAGCTGCCTTCAAGGTCCTACACAAATGTCACCAGAAATGGGTTTTTTGGCCCTCTGCTGGATATATCCTTATTTCTCTGCAATGTTTTCTTAAGTGAAATATATTCTATTCCTCTTCATATTAAGCTGACAATTTTATCCTCATCTTGAGCACTCTCACAGAAAGCTGAGACTCTATAATGGTGTGGTTGTCCCCCCTCCCTCATTTACAGACATACCTGCTCTCCTCTTGCCTACTCATTTCTGTTCTTGGACAAATTGTAGTTGAAATGTCATTAGGGATCATTTTTTTCTTCCTCCAGAGGATATTCATAGACTTAAGATATCTACTACCTCTTCCCTGGTGGTACAGATTTCTCCCAACAAAGCAGCTTTGTTAGCAGTTCATCTTTCTACAGTCACCATCAACGCATCAGGGGGTCAGCCTAGTTTTGTGTGTGGCTGTAAGCCTGGCCAGCCGGGAGAGCGTCTTTGCTGTGGAGGGGACACTGTGTTTTCTGGTGACCAGTAGTCTCAGCAGAGGTGCAGCATTAGTATGCTCTGGTGGCTCCCCTGTTCTGCCTGCAGAAACCTGGCCACCTGCCTGGCGCTATTTGACACCAAATTTCTTTCTCACTCCTCCATCCTTTGCCCACAGCAATGAAATTCAAAAATGATCTAGATCTCTTACAGATATTCCACAGGTTTTTTTATGCTGACTTTGAGTTTATAAAGCCTTTTCTTGGGGAGTAGCTAATTCATTTTTCACCACGACCCTGGAAAGTAGGTATCATGATCCTCATTGTAAAGATGGGGAAATCCATCCCCAGGGAATCTGCTCAGGGTTGCATCAGTCAGTAAGTCCAGGGACTGGAGTGCCATGTGGATAAAGCTGGTAGCTGTGTGTCTCTGGATCTGCATTGATAATTTTCAGTTCTTTCTGGGGACACTGTGCTCTTAACACATTTCTTCCCTTAATGAAATGGGGCTGATGAGACCATCACCCAAGCTCACCCAGGGTCTGTTTGGGTACATGCAATTTGTAGTTCCTCATTGAGTCTGTCTTCTCCAACTTCCAGGTTAGTCCTTTTTAGGAGCCATGATGGTCTAAAAAGGTGTCACACCAAAACATTTGCAGTTTCTTGACCTGTTCTTTGGACATTGGCCAAATAATTTCTCTGATGATATGAAATGACTTCAAATTTTGAGAGAAAACAATATTCTGGGGCTTAGCCTGTATGTCAAGAAAGAACAGGAATATTCCAGGCCTAAAGATGGCTGGAGTTATCTTTTATTCTAAAATAAAGAAATAACTAAAGAGCAACACCGGTGACCTGAATGAATAACAACCGCTATGTGAAGAATAAGACAGGTAGGTGCCAAAGGAAAAAAGAATTTGTTGGAAAGACGAGGAAGAGAAGGGGAAAAAGTGACCTCTGAAGAAGGTTCATCCAGATGGCGGCTTTGGAAAGGCCTCAGATAGGAGATGCCCAGAGAGCTCTGTGTCCAGCCAGAGACCTGGTTCTCACCAGCCTTGGGAAGCTACTTGCCTGTTATAGCTCCAGTCTTCTTATCTATCAAGTAGGAGTGGTCCTTACCCTGCCTGTCTCACAGGGTTCCTAAGAGGATCAACCGGCAACATTTATGTGGAAGTGTTTTGAGAAATAAGGTTTGGAGTGTGAGCTGCTATTGTCTGAACAAAGGTAGGAGGAGTCAGAAACTCCACAATTACCCAATTGAATGAATACTACTCCACAAAATGAGGTCATCCCTTCTCATTAAATAAGAACAAGAGGAATATATATTTTTATTCTCTATAGAGACCATTTATAAATAGAGAGCCTCTGACTTACTTTGTAACTGACTTGTGTAGTGCTCATTTGGAGAAAACACCCATCTTGGGACTCAGTTTCCTGATTTAGGAAGTGAGAGAATCAGACTCTTTGGGAGTTCAAATCACTTTGAAATCTAATGTCTCTTATTTCTGTTTGGAAAGGCCATTTGAACATTAATGTTCGTTTCCTTATGACACGACTGAATGGATATATCATGGTTTGATTAGGGCAAACGTTGTTCACCCTAATAAAACCATGCTGGGAAGCATTTTGTGCCAGCAAGACTTCTCTTAAAAGTAATAATGCCTTGGAAATTTTTTTCTTTCTTTCTTAGGTTTTAGCAGATAAGGGGAAAAAATTGTGAATTTTTTTCTGACTATAAAGGTAACATGTTTAGTGTTAAAATATTGAAATGGCAAATAAGGATCTAAAGAATGAAGTAGATATGATTCATGAGTTTACATCTGGACACCATCAATATTACCATAAAGGCAATTCTTCTTCCAGACTTATAAAAATACATACATACGATTCACCACTTTTTAATTATTTTACTACAAATTATTATTATATAATTTTTTTGATATTATCTATATTCTTTTATTTTTTTGGTATCAGAGATTGAACCCAGGGGTGCTTAACCACTGAGCCACATCCCTAGCCCTTTTTATTTTAATTTCAGACAGGGTCTCAGTAAATTTCTTAGGTCCTTGCTAAGTTGTTAAGGCTGGATTTGAATTCTCAGTCCTCTTGCCTCAGCCTCCTGAGCTTGCTGAGATTATAGACATGTGCCACCGTGCCCGGCTTATGTTCTCAAAATTTTATCTGTTGTGTCTGTACCATGAAAATACTATGTAATGGTGTACAACTGCACATCTTTTCCCAACTCCATATTCAGAGATATCAAATTCGTAGTTTCAAATTAATAATATTGGTAGTGATTATGTCCTAGAAATCTGTGGGTCCTACACTAGGAGAAACTCCATTCTGCCACCCTTGAAGGCCGGTTGATAAGTATTTATCAACACGCCACCGAGAATGTCATTTCCTCATGACTGTCTCTCCCCAACCCCGATATATACCTCAATACTATGTAGATATTATCTGTTCGGTTGTACCATGCATCATGGCAAAACCAAATAAAATCAATCCCAACCTTTTCTTAGGAAATGCAAACACGTACTCACAAATAGTTATTTTTAAATAAAGAATGGAATCATTTATCTGAATATTTACTTATTTATTTAGTGGTTCTTTGGACTGACGGATCTCAAGCATGCTAGGCAAGCATTCTACCACTGAACTATACTCCTCGCCCTTTATGTTTGAAAGCTGGCCTATACCCCCTAACTCCTTTATGTTTGAAAGCTGGCCTTCTCATTACACCTAAAAATGTATTATGGATGTATTTTTCTTTTGATAATTCTAGTGCCACATGGCTTTAAAAAAGTTGTATTTGGCTGAACCGTGCTGTGTTGAATTTCCTATGTTGCACTTTTCTGTTATTTCTATTTTTGTGGCTGGGAAGGACAACTTTGTATGTGTATTTTTATATACTTGTCCTATTGTTTTCTTAAGATAAAAGCCTAGAAATGGTATTGTTGAATTAAAGGGGATGCACACTTAAATTTTGATTGATACATAATGCCCTATTGCTTTGCAAAATGTGGTTGTAACAGTTTGTACTGAGCATCGATCCTTTCTTGCCAAAACTTCCTTTCTCTTCAGACTTGCCAATGTAGAACATTTTCAATCTTTTTAACTCCGGCTCATCCGTATGTGAAAATGATAATTTATGGTTGTGCTATATTTGCATTTCCTTAATTGGAGGTTAAATATGTCTATATATTCATCGCCACTTCTATTTTTTGACTAAAATCTCTTAAGTTGTTGCTGATGTTATACCAAGTAGGATTATGCTAAGTAGTTAATTTAACGTCTGCATGTTTTAAGAGAATAGAATGTGCTCTATTTTGTTTTGTTTTACCATGATGCATTCTGTGAACAAATGGATGATATCCAAATATGATATTATTATTGTATTTGGACATGTGTGGAGAAAAATAAAGGAGCTTATAGGAAACAATATGTTTGGTGAAGTGCTGGGAAATATTTAACATAATTAATCATGTTAAATACTGGGCAGCTAAAAACTAGTGAATGTGGAAAATCAAGAAATGCTGTTTCAACTTCCAGGTCATTTCTGAGAACCTAGCACCAAGTTAGTGTTGCAAGGGGCAAATGATGTGCCAGTGGGTGGTGTGTGGTCTCAGTCCCATTGGAAGTCCTGCTGTGCCATCTGTGTGAACTAGGGACATTTGTCCTCACCGAGTTGTTGGCTCACTTTGATAGCTGAAGTTTGCCTTTTCTTCTCTAATACCCGGGAGCAGAAGCACCTCCCCCACCTCAATAGCCACTTATTTATTATGCTCAGTGAGCACCTCCGAGTTGCTTGCCAGTGTTAAGTAGTGAACCCACAGATCTCATAGTGGAGGGATTGTGTTCAGGCTGAGACATTTTGTCAGTTGAAATGTTCAGGAAGCTGGGCCACTGGCCAAGTCTGATGTCTTTATTCTCAATTCATTGCTGCAGAACTCCCATGAAGTCGACTCATCTTTGATATAAACTCTTGAGGAGTGAGATTTAATTGCTTTAGGAGGACAAGGGACCCTGCTTGATTCACCTTTCTGTGGCCTTCTCCTTCCCTTTCCTGCTCCCCTTGGAACTGTGCGCAGTACCTGGCACAGACAAGCAGGGCATATTTGACAGTGTGACTGCAAGCTCCAATAACCTGCAATTTTACATTGGGAGAACAGGCCGATGGCCGAGTTCAAAAGTAGACCTGGTTTGAGTCATTTTACGACAAAGCTAGAAAATTTTGTTATTTATTTGGAATAGTCAATCATTCTACGAATTTGTCAATTGGCTTTCCTCTCCTGCAAGCGTCAACAAGGCTTATTCTTCAGAGTTAATTAGCCGTACAGCACTATTTTTCTATGAGACACTTCATTCTATCCCTTCATCCATTCATGTATGAACTCAACAAATATTTAAGAAACCTCTCCTCTGTGCCAGGAGGCCTCTGGGCTAACCAAGGAGGATTTTGAGTGAATAACAAACAGCTTCTGTTTTCAAGGAGCTCACAGCTGAGAGGGCAAGACATAGTTTATGGGCCCTAGTGAAAAATGAAAATGAGGTGACCCTTGTTCAACAATCATTAAGAATTTCACGATGGTAATAGCTGTGCATTAAACTTAGTGGAGGGTCCTTCTGAGTGCACAGCCCTGTGAGACTGCTCAGGACTCATGCCTGTGAAACTGCCCTTGCAAGTGGAGAAGCCTTGGGCGCAAATGTAATGGTCACATGATGTGGTGGGTGCCATTGTGGTAGTTGTGCCTATGGAGTTGAGGGAACATGGAAGAAGGAACAATGAACTTTGAGTAATCTTCGAGGGCAAAGATGGCATTTAATTTCCCCAGAAGGGTAGGTAAGATTTTAAAAGACATCTGAATGCATGCGCATTATATATA